GTCACAGGAGACATTATCATCGTAGCGGACTCTAATGCTCCTCGCGGATCCTGGCTGTTGGGCAAGGTACTGCAGACCTTTCCCGACAGACAAGGACTTGTGCAACATCCTGGAGCGACCAATCACGAAGATTTGTCTTCTATTGGAAGCTGAATAAAGACTGAAACCCAACTTCTATTATTGGGGTTACCAACCCTATTGGATTATCTACATGAACAATGAACATTATGGATTGAGAATACTGATATGGACTATTCTATTTGGCTGCAATGTTTTTTATGTTGTTGAATTGTTATGTTATTATACAGTAACAATTAGGAGCCGGTGTGTTGCAGCCAATTTGATGTATTTTAATATTTGTATATGAAGGTGCTGTGATACTACTGAATTGACCTGGGCATAGGCGGGGACTCAGCCAATTTCAGGGTACAGCCTACTATTTGGGGAGGACACAGGTGCACAGCATTAGGGATTGGGAATCACCAGAGGGAAGGCACACAGTTTTTCAACCGTGCGTGTTTTCGCTTATTTTCTGTTTGTTTTGAGTTAATTTCGGTTTTTTTTTTTATCACAGCTAGTTGTTTAGTTATCAGTTAAACACCCGGCTCTTGTTTTGCTGTCATCATCCTGCAATCCAAATAAACATCTTAAATGCACTCAAAGAGAAGACCTGATTTGCTGTCAACACCACGCGTCTGGAAAAGCTTCACACCATATCCCTCACTGGCAAATATTTGTTGTTCGGTTGCCTTTACAGTTACATTTTAAGTCTGTATACATTAGCGAAAGTGTAAAGCTTTACCTGTTTACTTCCCTGCTCAATATGATGAACAAATTGAAAGTCAGCGCTCAAATACTAGAGTAATCCATTAGTTTGATAATCTATTGACTGTTTTTTTCGTCTTGGTTTCGGTCACACAATACAAAATGTGTAATCAACACAAATCTAAGAATTCACACTTTTTAGATCATTTAAAGAGCATCAGTCAGTTGAGGAAATAATGTACGGATACATTGGTAATGAAAATAATTTCAGTTGCAGATCTAATAAATATGAATTCATCTCCATCAGCGTTAACGTTTGCACACTGCAAAAAAAAACGGAAATCTTAACGGCCACTGGGACACCACAAGGCTAGCATCATCATCACCACTTTTGAACTCCCAATGCTGTATAATGACTGAAAAATCATATGAATACATATAAACAACAGCCATCCGAGTAGGAAACCTATGATCCTCTTTTATATCAGACGATCAGTTCTTGTTTTATTTCACCTTTATTTAACCAGGATGATTTACCTGTATGTATCCCTGCTGGTCTATGAGCAGGTTTTCAGGCTTCAGGTCTCTGTAGATCAGGTCCAAAGCGTGCAGATACTCAAAGGTTAGGACGATCTGAGCAGCGTAGAAACGAGCGTGTGGCTCACTGCACACAGGGAGAGTGGCAGTTAAGTGGAGAACAAAAAAGAAGGGAAGATATTAAAAAATATAACCGAGTAGGGCTAAAACAGACATGAGAGAACAAAGCTGTAACATATAGAATAATATAGACTACAAGAGAATAAAAACAGGAGAACACAGCTCAATGAGATAATAATAATAATAATAATTCACTTATTTTATATAGGCGCTTTTCAAGGCTCTCAAGGTCGCCGTACAAACACATAAAAAACAAGATACACAATACATAACACCAGCATAAGAAACATAAACAAGACAGTATATAAATCAATCAAATAACCAAATAAATAAAAACGGAGGATGTGTGATGGATAATGATCAGGGTGGATATGCGAGTGTGAAGAGATATGTTTTGAGGCGTGATTTGAAAATGGGGAGAGAGTCAGTGTTGCGGATGTCAGGTGGGAGGGAGTTCCAGAGGCGGGGTGCAGAGCGGCTGAAGGCTCTAGACCCCATGGTGGTTAAACGGAAGGGGGTGCAGTGAGGCTGAGGGAAGCAGAAGATCTGAGTGTGCGGATGGGTGTGTTGATGTGCAGGAGGTCGGAGAGGTACAGAGGAGTGAGGTTATGGATGGCCTTAAAGGCGAGGAGCAGAATCTTAAAAACGATACGGGATTTGACGGGGAGCCATTGAAGTTGCTGAAGAACAGGAGTGATGTGGTTAATGGAGGGGGTTCTGGTGATGATGCGGGCGGCAGAGTTCTGAACCAGTTGAAGTCTGTGGATGGATTTGAGAGGGAGACCAAAGAGAAGGGAGTTGCAGTAGTCGATGCGGGAAGTGACCAGGGTGTGAACAAGAATGGCGGTGGTCTTAGGGTTAAGGGACGGGCGGAGGCGGTTGATGTTGCTTAGATGGAAATAGGCAGACCGAGTGATATTACTGATGTGAGATTTGAATGAAAGTGTGCCGTCGAGGATGACACCCAGACTCTTAACCTGAGGGGAGGGGGAGACTGAAGAGTTGTCTATTGTAATGGAGAAACTGTCAGGTTTGGTTAGGGTGGATTTCGTGCCAATGAGGAGAACCTCGGTTTTATTGTCGTTAAGTTTGAGAAAGTTAGAAGAAAACCAGGATTTGATGTCCTGTAAGCAGTCAGACAGGGAGGATGGAGGGAGGATGGTGGTTGGTTTGGAGGACAAGTAGAGCTGGATGTCATCCACGTAGCAATGAAAGTGGATGTTGTGTTTACGGAAGATATTGCCAAGAGGAAGTAAATAGATGATAAAAAGAAGAGGCACCGGTCGTGACTGGAAGTGGCTGTGATTTGAAGGTTTTGAGTTGGATGAACTGAGTGCGGCCAGAGAGATATGATTTAAACCAGAGGAGGGGTGTGTCAGTGATCCCGATGGAGGTCAGTCTGTCAATGAGGATGCTGTGGGAAATGGTGTCAAAAGCTGCACTAAGATCAAGGAGGATGAGGATAGTTAATAGTCCGGAGTCAGCTGCCATGAGGAGGTCGTTAGTGATTTTCACCAGTGCTGTTTCTGTGCTGTGATGGGTGCGGAAACCAGATTGAAATTGTTCGTACAGGTTATTGTCAGACAAGTGGGTATGGATCTGGGATGCAACAGTTTTTTCCAGGATTTTTGAGAGAAATGGTAGGTTAGATATGGGACGAGAGTTATTCAAATTGTTGGGGTCTGCACCAGGTTTCTTCAGTATGGGCGTGATGGCGGCTGATTTGAAAAGTGAGGGAACAAGACCAGAGGTGAGGGAGGAGTGTATGTTGACAGTTATAAGGGAGGACAATGAAGGTAGACTGATGAGGTGCAAGGAGTCCGGTGGTCGTAGAATGTTCTTCACTGTAGAGAACAGGACCCTTGTGTTCCCTTCGCCAGAGCTGATGAGAACTACGCAATATGATGATTTGGCTGTAGAGAGAGTGTCCTTGTAGTAGAGAATGGGGTTATTGTACATTTATTTGTGAACGACAAGTCCAGTTTTTTTGCAGAGGCGTTCCAATCGAAGGCCTTTTGTTTTGAGTTTGCGTAGAGTTCAGGTGTAAACCAAGGAGCACAATGGGTGAAGGAAACAGACCAGGTTTTTAAAGGAGCCAGGGTATTGAGCAGTTTATGAAGATTGTTATTGTAATGAGAAACCAGTTCATCAGGCGGGGATGAACAATTTATGCTGGGGAGGTTATCAATGCCACTGGAGAATGTAGTTAAATTAATATCCTTGATGTTGCGGAAGGAAATAACATGTGACAGATTTGGTTTGGACAGTGTTAAGGTGACAGTAAAGGATATTAATGAGTGATCAGAAATTGGAAGATCAGTTGCAGTACATTTAAGAGGAGTGACACACAACATGGAGGTCAAAGGGGATTCATTTGGTATTGGAGCTAGCCTCAAGTGGCCATTCAATTAACTGCAGTTTTTTTTCCCACTTCCGAGTTATCTTCATTTTTCAGCACAAGAAAATGCTGTTTGGCTACGACATACAAGACACGCAAAGTATGTGCCATGCATATTTACTGGTCAAAAGTTTCAATCTACTAAGGATTACTCACACAAATAATACAGTGTTCATAAAGTATACATTTTAGATCTCTTGATTTAATGGGGGGGTTTTGTGCAGACAGGTAAAAGTAAAGCAGAGGGATGTCACAGTGGGGTGCTCTGGTTCAAAAGTAGGTACTCTTAGACCTTTTTGTGAAGTACCTTAGTGTAGCAGCCTTTGTGGTTTTAGGAGGATGTAACTCTGTTTGCAATCTTACATAGATGCTCCTTAAAAGACCACTTGCAGTACAATTACATTAATAGGAAGAATATTTATCAGGTCACATTTAACAGTATTACAACTACAAATAATTGAGTAATTAATTCTATGTTGTTTGGAATATTGCTGATTATAGGTATTAACAAGTATTTTAAGCAATTAATTTCATATAAAAGGCATGGCTACAATAAAAAAAATGTTGATATCTCAATTATTAATAAGACCTCCTACAGAAATAAGCCCATGATAGAAAGAGTTTCTTTTTGAACAACTTCAATAATCCCTAATGGATATACATTAGATTATTATAAAATTGTTTTATTGCCAATTTATATTTTCCACATACTGTACGTCTGACCCATGTAAACACAGGAACAGTATATGTGAACAATTTGGTAACTTGACACTTTTGTCCAATATGCATTACATTTCTCACATAATCATATATTGGGGAAACATGAATTTCTGTGTCTCAATCCAAGTAAATACCATTCAATTTAAAGTAACACCAAACCTGTTGTATTAACTTAGCCTAGCCGAAGCCTAAAGAACATATGTAACTAGCTTGTTACCCTTTCCCTGATTTTAAATATGATACTAAGATAAAGAGCCATTGTGTTCTTCATTCACCTTTCACAAAGTGAATCTTTTCAAGAACCAAACTTGAAACTATAGATGGCAGTGAACATGTGATCAAGTTTTTTTAAAGTAGGATGTACAAAGTCACTTCAGGCTGGCCAATCAAACGTAGTCTTGTGTCTTAAGAGTGAACAAGGTTTCAAGATCATTTTCACTCAACTCAAGAATTCAACAAGATGACGTCTCCAAAGTTGGTCTTATATCTGACGTGTTTGTTCTTGGGAAACATCGGTGAGTTGTATTTTAATGCAGCTTTTTATTTCCAGCAACTTTTCATTGAAATTATTTTTAATAAAGTTTATGTAAACAATGTTCTGAAATAAACAAATTGAATTATCAAAGTATTTATTTCACTCTTGTTTCAGCTCAGACGACTGATCGGAAAATATCCTCAAGTGTTCGCCAAGAGAAAAGTTTCATATCTGTTGATGTTGGAGAAAATGTGACTTTGAGATGCTACAATGAAGATGGTGATACAGATTGGCTTTACTGGTTCAAACAAACTTTGGGACAGAAACCAAGGCTCATCTCTACCTTCCATAAATATACTGCAAGACCCACTTTTTTTCATGAATTCAACAAATCACGCTTCACACTGGATCACGGAAAAAGTACAAATCACTTGACAATTTTAAATTTACAAATTTCAGACTCAGCTACTTACTACTGTGCAACTTACTCTAACATTGTGGTGAATTTTGCGGAAGGCTCTATTATTGGTGTCAAAGGTTCAGGTTTAAACCCCCCAGCTTCGGTCCATCAGTCAGCATATGAGATCATCCAGTCAGGAGACTCTGTGACTCTGAACTGTACAGTACACACTGGCAGCTGTGATGGAGAACACAGTGTTTACTGGTTCAAAAACTCTGAGGACTCTCCAGGACTCCTTTACACCCGTGGAGGCAGTCAGTGTGAGAGGAAACCCAACACACAACCACACACCTGTGTGTACAACCTTCCAATGGAGAGCCTGAATATTTCTCATACTGGGACCTACTACTGTGCTGTTGCCTCTTGTGGACACATACTGTTTGGAAATGGGACTGAGCTGGACTTTGAAGGTAAGCAAATCACTCAATTACTTAATGAAGAGTAATGTATGTTTAATTCCCAATCGCACACTTTAAACACAAAGATAACATTCTGTTTTTGGTGTTTACTCTCTACAGATGAGGTTGACTCTCTTGTGTATTTCTTAAGTGGAGCTTTAGCGTTCAACTCCATTCTGGTCGTTTTACTGGCTTTCTTAGTGTACAAGATGAAAAAGAGAAGCATCTGCCAATCAACAGGTAACTTGTACCTATTGTATGTGTCTGAAAGCTTGTTTGTATCCAATGAAACTTTTGGAGGAATACAAATTTTGTCTTTCAAATGTCTTTCCAGAGTCTGAAGCAAGATTATCAACTCCCTCTACAGCAAATGCAGAGGTGAA